ACAGGTATATAAGATAAGCAACCTAGAATAAAAAAGACTCAAATTTCATAACTCCTTTAAAATTCTTGCACTTAATACGAAGGTGATACAAAGCTCTCACCAAAAAGACAACCGCATGAGCCGGTACATATTATAGTTTATAACAGGTAGCCATACGGTAAACCATCGCAGCCTTTTTGGTTCACGAAACACGTATCTTCGCGATTTAGCTAATTGGACCAATAAATTGCTGTGCGGTGTCCACCTTTAATAGGCCGATTGTCTTCTGTCTTGCTCATGGCTGCCCGTGCCGGTTTTCAGATGCAGCGGGCCATGGAAATAATCACCTTAAAAATCATTCCTATTTTCGCCGACTTTCGACGAAATAAATTGCTTTTTGAGTGCGTGCCCACTGTGTAAAACATGTCCAATAGTTATTATTTTTTAATAAAGATAAATATTAAATAATGTGACATATTCATGTGAGCTCTAGTGAAACATCGTTTAAGAATTTTTTTAGTACTAAATTTAGAGTCATTTTTTTACTTTCAACATCCCAGTCAATTTCATTCTGAAAGGAAAAATAAGTATATTTAACTAAACTTGGATAGCTAGTTAGTTAGGTCGATGGTATACAAAATACATTCATCAAGCGTAAAATTAGTGAAATCAGAACAAAACGAACTATTTTAAAACTATTTAAAATTCAAAATGGTGACCGTAAGACTATACAAAATTAAAGATGTTTACTGAAAGCAGAATCGATCCATGAAAAATCTAAAAACTCCATCGTGTAGCTGAAGAAAAGTGGCCATTAAAATGTGCTTTTGCTGTCAAATAACGCCAAAAAAAGAAGAAAATAAATAAAAATAAAACTAAATATTCAGTTCAATTTTACTCGATTTTCTGCAGAACTAGCAATTTGTACAGTTTCTAAACCGCCTATTGTCAAGCACTAAAGTTTGCAAGTTTTCCCCAATGTAACCATCCTAGAATCTCCTGCGATCTACTTGTGAAGCAAGTATGAAGAAAAAGTTGAGAAGGTAAATTGAACATGCGCATGCGCGAAATTCAAAATCTCATTTTTAACCAATAATAATCTTGCGGAATTCATCAAACCAACGTGGCCGCTAACAGAGCCTCAATAAGTTTATAAATATATTCCTAGGTCTCGTTAAATGGTGTAGGAAAACGAGTAAAGTGTGTGGAAATCGCTGTTTATAAAAAAAATGGCGCAAAGTACAGGTTAATGGGTGAAATGTAGAAGCATGAGTTGCAATTTATGCTGCCAACTGAATTTAAAATATTTGAATTGTATTGCATGGATGAGAACCCTCACGGTAATTAATTACCACATTAAAATAGCTATTTATTTGAAATATTGAATACTTAATGGTCGTAGGAACTATATAGCATGGAACACGTGGATAAACTTCTTCAGGCACTCATTCCGTTCGTTTCTAAACGAACTCGTAACTAATGTGTCATTTATAAAACTTGTTGCATAATATAATATTTTTGAAATTTTGTTGTATGACAAGTCAAAGCTGCTTATTTTTGTCATTGTGTACTAAAGCAAATAAAACAATTTTTGCAAAACCCAATATGCGAAAATCTATTTTAAAACCATTAAGCACCGTAGAGCATAGAAACGACAGCAAACGACACTTAATCAATTTATTATTAAGCTTTTCAAATACCTTACTGATACACCCGTACGGCTTTCGTATATTATTCCCAAAAATAGTCACCCACAAAACCGGTGCATGACGAGTTTTTTTTTTTTTCGAAATGCCTTACCGAGAATTTAATATAGAGTTCACAAAAGCGTATTTGATCTATCCAATCCATTAACCTGGCATTTTACTAAAATTCACGTCGTTTGAATAGAACAGCGTGAACAACGTCTCCATTCATAGAAAAATATCTTAATAACTGCAACAAATTTATATTTCGGATATAAAGTACCATTTAGACAGTTTGCGGCCAAATAAGTTCCATTGAAATGGTACTGTAGGGGACAGTGCCCCGGACACTTGACTCTAACAAAACGTGAATTATGCGACCTCATAATGGACAGTTAATGTTGTAACCTACAAAAATAGAGTCGTCATAAACTAAAAATATAGATTTTCATTCATTCGATGGAGGATCCATTCATGTGGCATATTCAAAGGCCCAGCGAGAAACGTCAAAAAATCGGTAATAAATGGCGGAGAGTAAAAGCTATTGTGACGCGGGTGACTTTGCGCCTCGCAGCCTACTCGATCTTATGGGAACGCGTAGGGCTATTAATCTTTATTTGTTGCCAACCACTTCAACTGTTTACCTTATACGCACCAAAGCCTATTAAAATCCGAGACGCATTTTAGCGGTTCAGATTTTTTTTGACGATATTTTGATTTCGTGGACCCTCTCTTGTATTTTGAGAAAACGGTGCGAAAAGTCTGACCCCATCCGTTTTTATTTACAACTTCAATTGGAATGAATATACAATAACCGACAAAAATGTAGGCAAAGTAACAATTTTAGCATAGCATCACATACAACACACTATTAAATTATAATAATATACAAATGACAAAAGGAAATATAAATATTTTGAACAGCACAAGTTTAGGCAGCAAAAACAGCAGATTAAAAATTTAATAACTGAATAAAACCAGTTTATAGTATTAGATTAATATTTTTGTTTTAAATTTATGACAGCTTCAAGATGTCTTGGCATAGACTGCTCTACCTTTTGTGTTATTTCTTTCCCTATTTTTCCATTCTTCTAATAAAACTTCTCTTAATTTATTTTTGCTGACTATTTCATGACACCGAAATCTTTTTTGTAGCAGCGCAGGATTTTAATCCAGCTCTTTTGAAGTATCTGCGTGGGCGGTTTTTTTTAAAACAGATTGTCAATTTTTGCTAGTATTTTTCTCTACTCTGTAATATCAAATTTTCGTGCACTCACAGAGGGAGCGTTATTTTCAATTCTGTTTTTATTTTTCTATCTCAGTTTAGCAACTTTTTTCAATTAATAATAACTCATTATTTTGCTAATTAAATTACTTTATTGTACTACACAACTACTGATTTCATATTTTAGAACCCACGTCTTTTGTTTCTGTAATTCACAAGTAATAAATCGGTCAACAATTTGTACGAGTGTGCCTAAAATTTTGCCTTTGAAAATGCTTACATTTTACATTACATTAATAATTTCTTAGTTTTCAGAAAAATGTTTAGGGTTTGCCATTATCATCATCATTATAATATGAAACTTTCCTAGCATTTTATTTTCTTGGTTTTTGTTACGCTTTATAATATTTTATAAGAACATTTTAAAAGAAATTGTTAACATGTTAGAAAACCTGGAAACATGGAATACGCAAATATGCAAATCTGAGAAAAATATAAAGTAAAATTTTTTTAAAATTTTATTCAAAAATTTAAAGATATAATTATTTTTGCTTTTAGTAGGTTGCGATTTCCATAAATCTTCTACATACCATAAACAATAATAGCATAATTTTTTATTTTGAAAATCACGTTTGTCAATTTTTTAGTGATCTGATTTTAATAGTATAATAATAATAATAATAATAATAATAATATATTATGCCAAAAGTCTGGTAAACGTCAATAGTCTTATATAATTATAATAATATTTAATGACCAGTAGTTTGCATACTACGATTCTTCTACGCCCATTACTTTTTGGGTAAATTTTTGAAAAACAATCTAAACACATTCACTAAGTGACATGTGACGTGACCGCCAGAACTATCAAATGTCAAAATACCGAAGTCTATCGGGAAAATCCGAAGTGGCTTGCCACTGTGAGTAACGTTATAGTTTCCTACATAATTGAGTCTTTCAGAGTAGGGAGAAGAAAAAGTAATATAAGTTAATTTTGCAATGTACATGTGAGCCCCAATCATAGATATAATAATATAATTCGAAATTTGAATACTCAGAACCAAAGGTATAAAAAATAGATAATAGTGTCACCATAGCTATTATGATTTGGCGCCGGAAACTACTTGTTATTGTAACATTATCGTAATCTAATATTGATCCAATCTGAAATTCAAATAAACGTTTCTCCGCATTAGGTTGCCTTGACTATTGTTCACGCCAAATGAAAAAGTCAACGCTGCTTCTGCAAGGTCTGATAATAATGGATTAAAAAAACTAACCAAAACTAATGCTAAGTATAGACTAAGCAGACAAAACAAAGACATTCATGTTTCGCTATAAAGCGGTGAAAAATTTGTTTAGCATTAAATATAAAGTAAATGGATGATGTTAAAAGCTAAATGAAGAACAGATACAGCCGGAGAGAACGAAGAAAGCAATAAGAAAATGAAAAATTCCAGCCAGGAGAACATTTTACTTCCAAATAGATTGGATATGAACTGCCAAGTTTTTTGAGAGACAAAAATAAGCATCGACCTAGCCTGTCGGTTGAATTTTCAAGAGGAACACACGGAGGAAGTAGGTTATTTAGTATTTTTATTTTTAAGAATATAGGTATAGTGTGTTCAAGTATATTTTGTGTCTAATTTTCTTTGTTTGATATTTCCTGACACATGGTTCTAAATTAACATTTGTAGGGTATGCTTTGAAATACCAGAAAGTCTAAGTTTCGAGTATACAGGGTGCCGGATTAACAAACTATAAATAAGGCTTTAAATAGAGTACCCTATATATTATGTTCTATAGCTATCTTCAACTGTTTACAAAATATTGAAATTTTACAGAACGTTTTTATTTTTTTTCAGCCATTGGATGAAGAAGAGAGAAAGATGTAACAAATGGCGGCTAGCATAAATTTTCATTGTTAAAACTTTATTTCTGGTAGAAACACCATATAGGTAAACAATTTTTGTCTGTTTGGTCTGGACCCAACAGAAGTTGACAAATAATTGAGTCAGAGCAAATATTCTTTTACAAAAACACCTCCTAACTATCGCACTGGGTGTCCCTTGGCACTGAGAGCTCAAAGCTCTCGGTTCATATAGTGCCTTATAGATCTTACGGCCTCCCATTTCGTCCGAGTGCTGTAGCGTGCTCAGCACTTTGCGTAACGCAATGGTGTTTATTTCAAAATAATTTACCTAAAAATTGTAGAAAAGTCACTTTAGCCATATGTTGTCCTGAAATGTCAATATAATGTTGGTATTGTTATCAATTTTGTCAAAATCATATCTCATATTTCGCTTTTGATTTTCATACGCCGACCAGAAAAGTGCTCTTTCTTTTGGAGGCAGCGATTCGTACGTTTTTGCGTAGAAAAAATAAATTTACTAATAACTTTAATCTCAATCCCTCTTACGTCTCCACTCCGCTAAAATCATTGTACTTTCCTTTATCCATAGACACTAAATCGTACACCTAATAACTATTCATCGATAACTCCTACTTTCGTTTCCACCCAGAACACCTCTACACCTAAGTTAGTAGCGGAATCGTATTTTACGGTAATTTAAAAAGCCTTTTACTAATCCAAGGAGTGTACGGGCAATTTTAACCTAATTGTGCGCTGTAAATTTGAACGAACTATCCAATATTTCAAGAACGGAAACCCCCGGAGAGGCAATTCCTTTAATTATCCGAAGATTAGATACGATTTTTGATTGCAATCCGCGACACTTTATTGCACCGTTCTGCGCCTTTTATCTTTTAACAGTTTTAAATTATTTCGCCAACACGTCTGTAGCTAATTAATTAAATTCTGTGAAACGCCGTTCGTTTTCGTTGATCGTGCCGCAGGGAAGGGCAGCACTTAAATTCTCCTGCTCACTCATACATTTTTGAATATTTGTGGAAAACACACGCCTTATCGGTCATGATCACAATCTCGGTTTTTCTTTTTAAACTTGAATGGGTTTTTTTAATTTCAGTACTCAATAAATGTTAGGGGTAAAGTCCAGTCAGAGCAATTGTGCATTGTCAGTACGTCCTAGCATGACATCTTCATCTAATTCATTAGTGGATGTCATAAATTGACACAGGAATTTTGTTTGTCAGTTTTGAAATCCGCATCTAAAGATGGTAGCAATAAAGCTCAGACATATGGATCATTTTTGATTACGTCACTATGCGTGACGTGTAACTGCACAATAGCTCTGACTGGAGTACATAGAAATGCTCAACATTTTTAAAAATATCCTTTCAACTATGATATTGCAGATAGCTTGAACAGAATTTCTCTAAAATATTAAATTAATGTTCTGTGATATTCTGGATTTGTCGAAAAATACAAATTTTATGCAACCTTTATTTTTGAAAATGTAAAGTTAATCATAACTGAAAATTACTGCCGACGACTTCGATTTGGAACGAGCGTACTACAGCGGGGCGAGTGCTTAATACACGAGTGACTGAAGAATTTTCTGACTGACTGACTTCCGTATCCAAAGAACCTTACTTCTTGCTTGGGTATTTTAGAGTAGGGAGTAGAAAAAAATAATATTTTCTACTCCCTTCTGTAAACTACATAATTATACACTGATATAAGGTGCGGAAAGCGTCGTTTTACCGCGTCAGTTTCGTTTCCCACGGATTCGAGCCACTGCGGATATTTCCGGAATATTACCGCACGGGTCTGGAAGCAATCGGATGTTTTCGCAGATTTTACCGCACGGGTTGAATTTTGACGTTTGTCAATTCTGTATCTTTGCTATTTTGCAAAAATGTGCTCAAAAACTAACGGTAATAGAAAAAGTATAGTATGCAACAATCGTTTATTAAATACTCGCTCCGATCGTGACAAATAAACTCGTCATTCAAATGGCGTTTAACATACTTGTTGCATAATATACTATTCTCTATAAATCAATAGAGATAATTTTGTAAATTATAAATGAGCTAGTTTGTTTAAGCCGTGGTTAATTTTAGGCTCTTTATTAGCTAATGCATAGGTACATATCTTTTTTTTTTTGAAAAGATAAAGAACTCAGTTAATACGTAGTAAACAATATTATAAATAAAATAGATTGAATTTTATTTCAATTTGATAAAGGCTTAATATATCAACCACCTCCTTTTATATATATATATATATATATATATATATATATATATATATATATATATATATATATATATATATATATATATATATATATATATATATATATATATATATATATATATATATATATATATATATATATATATATATATATATATATATATATATATATATTATATTTCTCCTTAATATGCTTATTTTCCTTTCAAAATGTTCAATATTTTGAAAGGGTATTAAATTATTAATCTTAATATAATGCCAACAGTTTTATATTATTTGCAGTTATTTTCAAGAATGAAAATTGAATAAAATTCATATTTTTCGGCACCCAACAAGTTTTATGTTTGATAGTAGTTTTAGAGCATGCAAAACTTTTTATCACGAATAACTTATTTTTATGAAACTACCCACTACTACGTATACTCAATCTTCTTAATTTAGGTGACTGGTACCGACATTTCTTTCCTTGTTGATTACAACCAAAAAAGATTTCAGGCTTCCAGGATTGTTGGAGAGCTCGACAAAAAAGGAAAAGTTTAACAAACTTTTTAAAAAATCCAATGGTTAGGGATGCATTACCCAATGATTGCCATCTTGTAGATCGTGGATTTCCAGTTGATTTTTAGTATTCCTTAGGCTAGAGAGACAATTAAGCAGCTGTTCTCTATTTTTTTTCTGGCTGACGAAAAGAGTATTCGGTCCATCGAATCTAAAAAGCGTGTAGTTCCAAAATTCACATAGCAGCTGTAACTATATGTAAACGGAAAGTGTCATAACATGAACTAGAAATTTGTAGCGGGAACTACCATGCGGTCTACCGCTCGTAGTCGTACACTTGGACTGGATTAAAACGTTCTTGATATCCAGATAATATCTAACTGCTCTCGAAGTCGGCTTGTATAGGTACAAAAATCAACTCGTCATTCGTTCGCTGGTAGTATCATGTCTCCAGTTTACATGTAAGCGAGCCCATTCACATCTAACATCGCTATAGCTTATGATTACTGGGAGTACACGATCCGGTTAGGTTAAACTCGTGAAACTTGTTTCTCACACTTCTCTTGCTAAGGAGAACATCGTCAGATCTTTGCAGCTCACTTGCAAACTGACCTTGAGTAATTGTCCGACAGATATAATATTGTTTGTGCTGAAAGTGACTCTGTGTAGATAAGTTGCTCAGCAATGATCTTTTTCTAACCTCTTCAGTATCATGCTAGTTTCCCATTAAGAGACAAATCACACTTCTATAATTTTGGCCGATCCTCAACTATTTCTGTTGCCCATCGTGACATAAATAACGGAAAATTGCTATACGCTTTTTTTAAATCAAATAAAAATTAATACTATAATTTTGAAAGTAATTGCAAAAAATACACTTAATCAAGAATTGTCAAATATCCCAACTGTCAATATTACCAAAAAACATAACATCAGAGATGACTATTAATTTTCTTCTTTGGTATGAATATCTGTCTTAAATATTTTTTTTACTATAGTGTTATTTCCAGGATATTATGGAAGTTGATAAATTATTGTTATATGTCTCATTTCATTTTTTTAAATAGTAAAAAACATGTACTAACCAAATTCTCTGGAACTATTTGTAACTGTAATTAATATCTCCTTAATTGTTTGAAATTCCATCCATATTTCATCACATCACATCAAAGGCAATATCAAATTGTAGTTCCCTTTTTCTTTCCAACACCGTCGCATTCTCCAGTAGGTACAATAGGTAAAGTAAAAAAGGTAAATAATTCGTTATGCTTTACAAGGTGCGTCGTTAAAATTCAATAGAATTCCTTTTATCAAAACAAATTTTATTGCAGATTCATTTCGCTAATAAACACCATTTTAAGAATAATCGCACACTGTATTGAAGCTATTAAACACTTTGCGCTCCGATATAAATCCTTTTGCGAATATGGTCAGTCCAGTGGCGCAACAATTGTATTTTCCGATTAATGCAATGGCATTATATGATGATGGGTAGTTATAATTCTTTCCCCGTAGCAGACGAATCACTGTACCAGCATAGTACTTTACGAGACACAAAGTGCAGTGGAGAAATATTGCGCATCTACACAGCACCCGAATGTCACCATACCCTCCTTAACCGACAATATCTCTAGTTAGATCGAGAGCATGATAAAGTTACAATGAGACAGGAACCTTTTGTCTAGAGAAACAGAAGCCTAGTAATACTTATCAATGTACTTAATTAACACCAATTCAGCTTTTGCAGTATCTGGACCTCTACAGGCAGAGTGTGCGAACAGAAAGATGAGGCGGTGGAGTACATTCTGTGCCAAAGCTCTAACCTCTTTGGGCAAATCATCCATGCCTAAGGAAAATGGGACAGCTTTTGAAGATATCCCAGTTTATGTGCAACAACTTGATGTAGGGCTTATATAACTTGAGCAAAACTTGAGCGATTGTTGACAAAAATTAGCGTTCATATACAAAATCCCTGTCTAAATTTATTTGTTAGTGTTGTAGATAGAATATCAACAATAGTTAATCTCCGTAGTAGTATCTGCATGAAAGTGATGCGACAACAAACCAGAAAGACAACAAATTTAATCCCTGGTAGTTCATTGCTATCCACCTTTAATTGTTTACTATTTTACAATTAATAGTCCACGCTCCAAAATTTTAGAAATAGAAGACATTTATACCAATACTTAAGCTCGACCTTATAGTAGTTCCTTAGACCCAGTACAAGGCCGCTTCATGGAAAGACTATATACAACCCTTATGGAATCGATTAAGTTCGCAAGTATTCTTAGACGCTGCTCACACAAGATGAGGAACTGGATATTAACTACACGAACTGGACGTGGTCCTCGTCTTGGAACTGCTGAACAGATTATATGGCCTCACAAACAAATTTCCGGTCTAGTCTAGTATAGTCTATTCTAAAGTCATGTTAAGACGCACAATAATCGTCTCGGCAGATACATTTTCATATTTTCAAAGAGGTTTTTTTAATTCACAACTATTGCGTTTGAGGTACTTACTCATAAGCAACGCTTTAGTATTAAATTTTCACCAAAATAAATTAGAAATACAAACTACAAATAAAATAGCATGTGTTTATAAATAAAACAGAACTTTATTCCTACTATTTTACATTAATGTACAACAATTTAAATAAATCTTTATATACAAAAATAAAACAAAAATTATATACAATAAAAATTTATATTAACTATTGCGGAGCTTCTCAGTCTTATTAATATATGTATACGCACATCTAATAACGCCTTTTTAACTGTTATGTGTATTGCACTACGTAATAGAATCGTTTATATACACACACACACCATTAAGATATATACAGGCCATCACTATTTACTTGCATAGGATTTGAGGAGCTGATTTTTTTTTGCCCTCCCCTTCAAGCACCCTGTATTTTTTACATAAGGGAAAATATGGAACTGCGGAAATCACCCAAATGTTTTTGTACTAGGAAACGCAGAAACTTAAAAGCTAGGTTATTGAGGCATGTTTAGCAATGGGCCAACGTTGGCGAAGGTAAAATGTGGCGGTCTATGCGTCATGGCGGCCAAGAGGGGCGACATAAGAGGAGCACCTCCGGGGAACAATCCGAAACTTGGAGGCAGTAAGGGTCGTGCCGACAACCTCAACTTTTCCATTTCGGCTTCTTGAAGCCGTTTGGCTTTGGCGCGACGATTTTGGAACCATATTTTTACCTGGAATAGAGGAAATGTTTGGTTAACAGTTGCTTTAAAAATAGATTTGGTTATTAGAAAGGGTATTCCACCACGCGTGCATGATTAAATCATTTAGTTCTCAGCAATAGGGCAAGGTTCTTTTTGAAAAATTGTGATGTACCAGGCAAAGCTATCGAGCATAATACAAACAATGCAGTTCAGTTGTAACGTTCAAATTGTCTGGTACATTTAATAGACAATTATAATTGTTGTTAATTCAATATTTAAAAAAATCTACAACTACTTAGAAGTTAATTTTAATTAAAAATATGGTAAGGTAATATACGGAAACATTGGGAACTTATGGTAAGAAAATGGAAAATCACGCAAAATGGTAAGAAACCGGAGGAAAAGCTCCCAAGGTTCAATTTTGTTCAGAGGGCAGCGAAGCGAACGAGCGAAGACCATTCCTGGAGGTGCTAGTTTAAGCTATGTCTATCAAAATAAAACCCTAGCTTTAACAGTGATGGTAATCTATGTCGCCATGAAAGCCCTGATTTTAAAAAAATCATGTTTTATTTACTTATATTTGGAATAAAACAATGTTCCGGGTTCTATTTTTTCAATATCCGAATACCTAAGCTCAATCTAATTAATGAAAAAAATATTTTGTCGAATAACCGTTTACCGATAAAATCAAAAAAAAAAAATACCTGTGTTTCCGTCAGCCTCAACGAATTTGAAAACTCCGCTCGTTCTGCTATACTAAGATACTGTTTGTCTCTAAATTTCTTTTCAAGCGCTAGAAGCTGTTGTGTGGTGAACGGCGTTCTTGGTTTTCTATTAGGTTTGTGTTTTCGTAGAGCGCACCTCACTATAGGGGGTCCTCCGTTCGCCGTCAGGTTTGGCAGGTTTCCTGAAAACGAAAAATAAAGTGATCGATCACAATTTATCACGAATTTTTGACGAAATTTGCTAAAAAACACAAACATTTTGTAAAGGATATTATAGACACCATTGGTTATCAAGAAATGACCGAGAGTCAAAAAATATTTGATCAGACCTCTACGTCGGAAGTGTGTGTTACCAAAACGCAATTAATAGGGATGGGAAATGTGGAAACGAATTGTATTTCTAAACAATATTTGAAATAAACTCCTCTTCAAGTGCCAAGGTATTCCACACCAGCGTGTTACATTTTTTAAGAAGTCACTGTGTGTATGAAAACTCACTGTTATTATAGTTCACTATAAGTGAATAAAAATCATCACGTGAAGAGTTAGCAACTATGTACTGACTTAATAAATAATATAGTGTTAAGAGTGGGTACCGAGTTAAACACTAATCAAAAAACAAAAGCATATGGCTTATAAACATGCCCACCATCAAACAAAACCATTGAAGTGTTTTAAATTAATACAGGGGAAGGAACTTTTTCAAGAACATGCGTTACTGCTGTTTATGTGAATAGTGCACTGTAACTTTCAACGACTATCACAACTGCAACAATTAACGTTTAACTGTCAAATAATATAAATCGTTTTACAGAAAAAACTGCTTAATTGCCAATTGGCAAATTATCCGTGTTCCACTGTTTCTTATCGGACTGTATTTTTCGTTGTTTTAATTGGCCTTTCAAATCGAAGTTTTGGTTCTTGTACCTAACACAATACTTACATTGACGAGAATCATTTCCGTGCGTTGAATTCGTTTAGCACTTAAAAAGACGTCCGTTCGATTAATCGTTAATAAAATCATATGGAAAACACACGTGGTATGTCAGGAAGTTGAAGAAGCAAAAAAGTTTAATACCTGTCTCTGATTTTTCGTAATCACGCTTAAGAAAAAAATTGAACGGCCTTGAACTTATCAAGTAATACTTTATAACAAAAAAAATAATTGTTACTTTAGGATTAAAAAACACAATATAGTGTCATGTTACATTAGCATAATTTATGAGAACCAGTGCCAGTAGTCATTGTTTCTAGACTAGAGCTGTAAGTTGCCCTTTTTATACATTTTTCTCTAGTGGTTTACTCATTTACCTACAACCAAATCGTAGAGAAAAATTTGATTGCGTTTCCAACTCGAACTTATATCGATTATACAGTTAGGAGAACGTTGCTCTAAATTCGCTGATTGGAGTTGAATAATTCGCGAATAATGCTTAAATAATCGCTGCAATTTTCCCCCTTATAATTGGAATTTATTATGAATTAGGAACTTACTTTATAGTCGACGTGTTGGACACTATGCGCATATATGGACCATTGAATTATTGAGTTCGACGAAACTGAGTTAGCAATTAATAAAACTCATACCCTATTTCGAGCAAACTAGTGCAAATGGTGTACCAAATAGAATTTACTTAAAAGTTATCATTTATAGATTTATTTGCTGGGGATTTGCGTTCTCTCAATTATCGAACTTCTAATTTGTCTTGGAGTAGGAAATCTTGAGTATATTCCAAGCGAAAAATTGAAAGTAGCTTTCCGTTTGCCCTTATTACTCAAAACGCGTTTTTCATCTGTAATATCCGATATGAATCATGGCTCAGTTTAAATTCATTTGAACTCATAACCCTGCCTTATCCGCCGGAAAATGTTTTTGTTAAATTAAAGATGTAAAGAAACGGCTTAAGCGCTAATTTTCATTATCTGTACTTCCCCAAACCTACCGTGAAGTAAGTAGGCAATACAATTTACTATCCTGTGTCCCGCATCATTTATTTTGTGGTCAAATAACTTACATACTATGTACTAAAAGACTACAAATTTACTATTTCTAAATCTTTTTTAAACTGTGTCTCTATAATTTATTGTAGGTCACACTGATCTAATTTATGGTTTAAAAACATCTATAGTAAAATCAATTCTGACATTGCTTCAACATCAACTGTATGCTTACCGTGAGGGGATGTGGATCTAAAAGCACCATTCGGTCCCACCCACGAAAAAGGCCACTGAGCGTGTCCCGGGGGTAACAACCGCGGTACAGAGGGATGTAAGGGTTGCGGTATTAAAACTGTGTGTTGCGAGTTGGGACTCAAACTCTCCCGTCCGTCGGTATCTTCGTCGTCTACTGTGATATTCTCTTCCTCCTCGGTATCTTCGAGCCTATCCGACGACGTATCTAATCGCATTTCTTCATTTTCCGATAAATTCGAATCGTCCAGTCTGTCGTCCGAAGGACATTTTGTATTCGCCAACAACGATTCGACACTAAATGATATCTTAGACTTTATGTCCGTTTTGGTTTCCTCCATCGTCGAAATCATTTAAAGCACCAATTCAACACTTATAAAAAAAAACACGAAACCCGTGAAGATCTGCAGCGTTATTACGCAAACCAAACCACCGAACCTTTCGCACAATTTTTTTCTGGTGTTGCTTGCAGTCGTTGCAGATGCAGACTGATTCGCTTCTGGCAGTTGGAGAGGGACCATACTTCGAGTGGGCGGCGCGTTGTTACGGTAGACTCCGCCCCCAAATTATTTCCCAAATAGCGTTTGCAATTGATGACCCCTGCCTGAATTTGTTACCACTGAATGAGACTAGCGTGATTTTACCATATTATATTATTTGTCGTGGTGTGTTTCGTATTAATTCAAATTGATTAGATTTTCGGACCCGTTCGATTTAATAGGTATGCCAGCGGCGTATGGGAGAAAGATGATTTGTGTGCGTCGTTGATAGTTTGGGACGTGTTTGTTAATGGTTGCTTGTTTTGTTGTACACACTTTTTTATGCGAAGAGTTTCATTGTCGGCTTAAAAAAATAATGAAGGTTTTGGTTATAATTGGTGATTAATTTTTTTTGTTGTTTTGTGTTGAATTTTCTTTGTTTGTGATTTGTTTGGAAATCTGGTAGCACATCGAAAGGTAGGAAGGCCAGGGGAGACAAATAACTTCTTTATTTCAAATTTACCGCCATGGATAGTGTAATTCCGGAAGAGATAGCTGGCAGCGGGTGAGACGGCTTTTTCCAATATCTGCAGGAATTTTAAATTCACCTTGCTGTTCATTTAGCTATCTGTTTTACACATGTCACGTGTATTTTTGTACAAATATGTTTACGGCTTAGACTAATATTGCAGCAAGAAAGAACGCCGTAAAATATAACTAATGATTGAAGAGAAAGACTTTAGACTAAAACCAGCAAAGAAAACAATAATAAATGAAACACGAAGACTTATTCGTAAAAAAATATTTACCAATTATAGCAAAAGCGGACGTTCTAAATTAGGTGTAAGAATAATAATAAATAAAGGACAAAAAGAGTGCTCTATAATTTTACAGGTCGAAACGTTATGCGCCTTAAACATAAGTTAGAAAAATTATGGGTTTAAAAAATTAATCAATTTTTCTTTCATGACATGCATTCTCGTGTTTCAGTGTCAGTTAAACTCTGGAGAAGCCAGCAGGTTGATTGGTGAAATGTTAGCAAGCTTGACTCAGCAACAACCGACGCAGGAAGAACCCAGAAGTTTCGTAAATAGTATTATAGTGGAAATTTTTGTGAAAAAAAAATTGCCATTAATTTATTTTTCATTTGTTTTACTGTTAACATTGTTTGGGATTATATTAAATAGGTATATTAACACTTTTTCAAAGAATAATGCATTGAATCTTTGATCCAACTTAACGGTACCTATCTAGCAATAATTTTCTGATCTGAGTATGCTCACAAATTATATTTTACCGTGTACGTATTAGATATATTTAAACTTCCATTTAAAAATCGAAAAATTGCTCAAATAAATGTTTATTTTCCGAAGAAATTTTGCAAAATAATTGCCTCAATTCAATATTTACTCGCAGGTCAATGTGTAAGTGTGTTTAAATTGAACTCCAACAACTAATTTATTATTTTTATTTGTTAAATTTGCACCAACTTTTAAGGTAGGTATTTTGCTTTTTCAATTTTATACTCACAATAAAAGTTTCAGATATCAATTTTCATTCAGAAATTTGCATTATTTAGGAAACTATGCAGTACTTAAGAAATCAGTTTGTTCTAGCAAAGGTTTTGGACTCAGAAAATTTCGCACATGAGTCAAGAAATCCTTGGTTTTCGAGATATACGGTGTTATATTTTCAAATTGCATCATGAATTTAATTTAATAATTAATTAATTAATTTAAATTATTGTGAGGATTGTTTCATAACGCGCTAAACAGTGCCGTTAACACTGGCCTTGAAGACATTCGAAATCTATGCTAAATTGAAATATCTGGCAAAGTCAAAAATAAATATACTTTCGGTAAATGATGCAGTAACAAACTCTAATATTAATAACACCATAATTAAAAACAATTACAAGTACTTTATGAATATACGCTATTTATAACTTATAGAAACGGAATGCAATAACCCAACCTTTATCACAATCCTTGTTATAATAAGAGTGACAGAAACTTCCACAATACGCCAAAATTAATTAAATAATTGCATATTTAGGTCCACTGAACAGATTTTTTTATTATATCACAAGAAATCTATTATAAGAAGATGTATTCTTTTATATTTTGTGATAATTCATTAAACTCAGAAGAAGAATCCCAAAAAAATATGGCACTATGATCTGGTATTGAAAGTGCGCATTGCAAAAACAAGATCTGATTTATATTTTCATGGTTTCTTTATAACTTTGTATGTATATCTACACTGATCATGTTTTGCTTAACCGTGGAACAGCCAACGGTATAGTTCTTCCAAATATGGCAGTCTATCATATGAAAATAAAACTTTTCATATTTTGTTCCTCAGAATTTTGAATTAATATATTTAACGCCAATTTGTTATAAAATTGCGTCAATGGTAAGAACAGATAATAAACCATTTTACGTTTCAACGAGCGGCCTAAAATATAAATAACCGCAGCCATGAGGAATTAATTAGACGTTTATTAAGAGAGAGAGTGTAATTACGAGGCGCTTTGCCGCGTGGTGGGGACGCCCCCTAATTCCGGCCAACGTAGACGTAATTATTTTGATCCCCTCGATGCACGTAAACGATCACGTTTGATTGGCAGCCGAAAGAATGATTTCCCCGCCTATGACCCGGCTCTATTCTCCCATTCTATTGGTTGCATACGATAAAAGAGAGGGGAAATAAAATCAATTTAATGCCTTCAGTTGTTTTAGGTCCGATCGTAAAACAGACTGCTGTTGTGACATAATCGTCGGCCGGAGCGCCAATGCCGGGGGGATTACAAATTATTATTTCCCCCGTGAAGTCACGATGTGGGGGGGGGGGCGTACGGTTGGCCGCCCCCACGTATGCGTCCGATAAGGGCACAAAAGGAAAAAAAAACTGTGTTCTTGATGTACTAGAAATGAAGCTCTCTCGCTATGTCGCATTTTACGTGTTATCAAAAATCTAAACGAAGGACATGTTTGACGCAGCTTTGTTCGATTTTTTCATGAATTAGGTAGCTACATATTCTGTATAGGGTAAATCATATAGCAGCAGGATGATGTGGGGAACAAAAAATTGGGTCAATTAAAGATAAGAAATTATTTATTTAAGCTAAATTATTCGCTAAAAGTAGGTTTTAAAGTAGATATAGAATTATTTCATTACGAAGCTAATAGTAACTAAGAGAAAGGAGTACCTATATTAGCATATTATGAACAAGCGGAGATAAAGAAATTCATTATCACATATACCTTTTCTATAAACACTGGCTACTAAAGCACCGGAACGAAACGAAAGTAAGTCCCGAGAGTGTTTAATGAAGCTAACACAAAATAACTAGTACATTTTTATTCATTAAATTATGTTTATTGTCACATTTCTCGACCTTTCTCTTTCTCTCAAAGCATAGTCGGAATCCCTAAAGAATAGGGACCAACAACAATTGGGAAACCCCTAAACAGATAGCGGCAAAAAGTGGCTTCAATTTGGTTGATTTCCATACTACTAGGGACTAAACTGGTGAAATTTAGTTCAGTTCGTTTTGTTTAGGTACCTACTTATTTAGGCTGACAACCCTTGAACGCGGAGTTCTGACTCAATACCCAAAGCAATGCTCTTCGATTCATCTCCTTACCAGTAAGTGAGTATTAGGAGCTAAAATTAAGACAGTGGCATTTCAAATAGTTCTCCAAGAACTCCGACAAGCTGGACTTTGACTTTTAATCTATTATGACAAGGTACAAGGTACCAACCAAAATAATAATGGAGATATGTTTTAACTGACGAAGAAAAAGAAAGAAAAAAAAAGAATTCAATTTCAGCAATCGTCTTGCCGCAGGACGACGTTTTCTTAAAATGGTTATAACCATCGAGCGCTACAAACAATGGCCATTTCCATACACATAAAGATAACAGGAATGTCTTAACTTGAAGCATTAAACACGTACTTGAAGTAATTCAGATGCATCTAAACGGTGGTGGCGTTAAATGGCGTGGAGAAAATAAAAAAAGTTAGTTACTGCCGGATTGTTTGCAAAATTAAAAGAATTTAATGGTGTGGGAATTTTTAACGGGTCTTAATCTAAAACTCAAAAAAAAAATCGCCGCGGCAACATTAGGAACCTAATGTAAATGTGGTGTTTCCGTGCACGATGAGCACTAACCTTTACAGTAATTTCATTTACTATCAAGTGAAATTTCAAACTTTGGGTTTCTCATTTTAAATGGCCTCGAAGTCAACTACATCAGTTTTTGCAATTCGGTTTTAACACAGACAGCAGTAGTTTTAGCTAGAGAAATATTGTAGATGCGTATGACAATTTGTGGTTGCGCCAGCCAATGTGGATTACAGGTGTTACAGGCTTAAAATGGGAGACATATGTCATATAAATACATTTAATAATAATAATCATACTATAGCAACGGTAATAAAACTACAAAAGTTCCAAAACTCATATGCTTCCATCTGAACTTAAAGGGTTGACTTATGAGCGAGCAGATTCAAAAACGCAGAACCATACAGGGAATACCAACCAAAATAATCTTCGACACACATCGTCAATTGGCACTATATTTGTTATCTAAGTAGCATATATCAACAATGGCCGAAACTTAAGACACCACAACAAAAAAATTTCAATGGAAAGTACAATAAACTGCTTAGAAGAAACTTCTTACTCACTTCAGTAACTTTATGTCTTTATTAACATTTGTATTCTTAATGAACTGTAACAATAACGAAAAAGAAGAAAACATACCACCATATTATGTCTATCACCGCAAATGCGTACAAGAAAATTGAAAATTGAGTGCCGATAAGCTCAATTTAAATAATATCTTCCCAGACATTGTGCTGACGCTTATGGAAGATAAGAAGGTCATTATCATCGACGTAAGAATCCCACTGGCACAAAACATGACAAAGACTATGTATCTATTAGATAATATAGTGGCCGTAAGTACAGCGAAAATTGAT